GACCTTATCAGAGGTGTTGTTTGCAAATATCTTCTCCCATTTTGTTGGTTGCCTCTTTGTTTTGTCGGTTTCTTTTGCTGTGCAGATGCTTTTAAGTTTGATATAGTCCCATTCATTTATTTTTGCTTTTACTTCTTTTGCCTTTGAGATCAAATTCTTAAAATCCTCTCTGAACCCAAGGTCCATAAGTTTAGTACCTATACTTTCTTCTACAGAATTTATTAGTTCAGGGTCTTATGTTTAGGTCTTTGATCCACCTTGAGTTAATTTTGGTACATGGTGACAGATAGCAATCTAGTTTCATTCTTTTGCAACTGGCTTTCCTGTTTTCACAGCACCATTTATTGAAGAGGCTTTCTTTTCTCCATTAAATTTTTCTGGCTCCTTTGGAAGACTGTGCATTTTAAAAATCATCCTGGCACCACTAATGAAGCAGTTCAAGGGCAATCTTTTCAGAAACTATCCTGCAGGTTTAGAGGCACATATGGAGATCTAGCCTTGAATTCCCCTCTCAGTGGATGTAGAGTGACTAAGATAAAGAATAGATATGTTAGATTCTGTGGTTCTTATGTTAGCAGCATGAAATTGCCATTCTTTTCTTGACACTTCTTCATTTAGTCAAAATGAGACCTGCAAGGTGGCTGCTGAAGAGAGTCTCATCAGGATTATTGCATCTGCACTACCACTGTAGGTCCTGGATCTGATGAAAAATATTATATGTCTAGCAGTTTACTCTTACTGTTTAACCGGAAGTGAGTATACCCCAAAAGAAAAAAAAAAGACATCAGCTTTACCTAACTCCTAAGAAATCCAACTTATAATAAGAAAATTCACTTTATTAATTTTTCTTATAAGATACACCTATTTCAAAGACAAGAGCCTGTCATTGGCACACCTCATTCCTTCTGCTCGTCACATCCATTCTGAAGACCAAATCAGAAATTTGCTTGATACCTAAAGAATTATAACTTTTGGTTATTCCCAGTGACTATTTCCATCAAATTATTGAAATCTTATGTTTATTCCTCTATAATTTAGGAAATTTAACCTAAAGAAACAGGAACAGTAATAGAATTAGAACATCTTATATTTTAAGTTGGATAAACAGTACAGTCTTAATTTTCATTACCCTTTATTGTCACTTCTCAAAAACTTCATCATTTTATACCTGGTTTTATAATTATGACTAAATATGTTATTTTGATATTATAGTCATGTCTTGATAAACTTCACAGAGCACTTTAATGAAGATGTAAAATGCAAAGTAGCTTCATTAGTAATGTAATAAACAGTTTAGTAGAGTGGCATATGGATAGGATAGTTAATCTCTGCATTATGTTTTTATTAAATTTATTGGGGTGTCATTCGTTAGTAAAATTATATAAGTTTCAAGTGTATACTTCTATAATACATCAATTGTATATTGCATGGAAACAACCAAAATTTCCTTCAATAGATGATTGGGTAAAGAAGATGTGGTACATATATATACACAATGGAATATTACTCTGCCATAAGAAAAGATGAAACACTGCCATTTGCTACAATATGGATGGATCTTGAGATTATCATGCAAAGCGAAATAAGTCAGAAAAAGTTATGAACCATATAATTTCAGTTACATGTGTGACATAAAACTGAAATCTCCATCTCCATTATATTTTCATATTACCAGCTTCACTTTCAGTGAGTAGCCTTTCCCTGCTTTGAGGAGAGCTTTGGTCAAAGATTTCACATTATGTTTAATATTGTATCTCTGTGGTAAATAAGCCTGATTACCTCATCACTTTATGATGAATAGCTATTATCTGAATATAAGAGTCTGCTTTTGAACCATATCTTAAAATGAATCCAACCAAAAACACAATATGCCATTTATTTCACACTTTGTGGTAAATGTGGTACTTTGGGGCAAACACTGGTAGTGTCAAGTCTACTAAAAAAGTTAAAATTATCTGGACCCAAACTTTCTTAATTAGCTCACACTCTTTGTTAGCAAAGCTTTAAGCTTTTTATCTGCTACTTAATATTGTAAAACATCTGATAATTGCTCTGAAGACCCAAATCTAATTATTTTCTCTCTGACCTTACTTAAACATTGATACAGAAAAAAAGAAAGGCATTATTTGTGGAGGGAAGGTAGAGGGTGGGGAGCTAATTAATCATCTCTTTCTCCAGAGAATGAAAAACTTTTGTGTTCCTCTTTTGGACTTTCATGGAGGGAGATGTTTATACCTCTCTTGTGATTACTTTTATTTAGTATAAAGACCACCAAGATCATGACTATACACAGGAATACATTATGTTTTCTGTTGGCCCTAGGGATTTTTTGCCTTAATAGACCACTTCCTTAATAAAAAATATGTTAAAATTGTATTTTACAACTGTGCTTGTATAAATGGATATATCAATCCTGACTTTATACTATTTAGGTAGAAGGAATAACTAATATTAGGGCTGTCACTGGAACTTTCCTTCTTGAACCTTCGCATGTAGTAATCTTACCTTGCTATCCTTCATTTAATGTTTAGGAACTGTTTGTTTTGTTTTTTAATTAATAAACTTTATTTTTAGAGCAATTTTAGATTAATAGCAAAATTGAGCAGAAAGTACAGAAAGTTCCCACATGACCCTTTGTCCCCACACACGCACAACCTCCCACTTCCACTATCAACATCCCACATCAAAGTGGTACACTATTTACAATCGATGAACCTGCATTGACACATCATTATCACCCAAAGTCCATAGTTTACATTAGGGTTCCCTCAGTGTTCTATGTTATGGGTTTGACAATGCATAATGACGTATATCCACCATGTATATTATATGGAATAGTTTCACTGCCCTTAAAATCCTCTGTGCTTCACCCATTCATTCCTCAATTCTACCTTAAACCCTGGTGACCACTAATCTTTTTGTCTTAGTTTTGCTTATTTCCAGAATTTAACATTGGTGGAATCATAACAATATGTAGCCTTTTTAGATTGGCTTCTTTCGCTTTGTAATATACACTTAAGGTTCCTTCATGTCTGTTCATAGCTTGATAGCTCTTTTCTTTTTAGTGCTAAATAATGTTCCATTATATGATGTACCATAGTTTATTTATCCATTCACCTACGGAAGGAACTCTTGGCTGCTTTCAATCTTTGGCAAATACAAATAAAGCTGCTATAAATAACAGTGTGGACATAAGTTTTCAATTCATTTGGGTAAATACCAAGGAGCCTGATAGCTGGATCAAATGGTGAAAGTATGTTTAGTTTTGTAAGAAACCACCAAACTGCCTTCCACAGTGGTTGTACCATTTGCATTTCCACCAGCACTTAATGAGAATTCCTGTTTCTTCACATCCTCACCAGTATTTAGTGTTATCAGTATTTCCGATTGTGGTCATTTTCTTAGTAGGTAGTGACATCTCATTGCTGTTTTAATTTGCAATTTCTAAAAAGTCATTACTATACCCAAGGTCATCTAGATTTTTCCTATGTGATCTTCTGGGAGTCTTAGAGTTTTACATTTTACTTTTAGATCTGTGATCCCTTCTGTGTTAATTTTTGTGAAGAATGAAGGGGCTGAGTCTAGATTTGTTTTGTTTTTGCTTGTGGCTATCTAGTTCTAGCACCACTTATCTCTTCTCCAATGTGTGCATTTGCTTCTTAGTCAAATGTTAGTTAACTGTATTTATGTGGCTGTATTTCTGCACTCCATTCTTTTGTTCCATTGATCTATTTGTCTATTCCTTTCCAAATACTACTACACTGTCTTGATTATTATAGCTTGATAGTAAATCTTGAAGTCAGATAATGTTAGTCCACCAACTTTGTTCTCCTTCAATATGGAGTTAGCTATTCTGGGTCTTTTGCCTCTCCATATAAACTTTAGAAGTTTGTTGACATCCACAAAATAGTTTGCTGGTATTTTTTTAAATTTTTACTAACTTTATTGGGGTGACATTGGTTAATAAAATTATATAGGTTTCAGGTGTACAATTCTGTAATACATCATCTATATATCACATTGTGTGTTCACCACCCAAAGTCAATTCTCCTTCCATCACCATATATTTGACTCCCTTTGCCCTCTTCTTGCTGGTATTTTGATTAGAATTGTGTTGAATCTATAGATCAAATTGGGAAGAACTGACTTATGGACAATATTGAATCTTCTCATGTATAGAAATATCTTCATGGGACATCTTTCCATTTATTTAGTCTCCTTGAATATATTTTGTCAGTTTTGTAGGTTTCCTCATAGGAACTGTGAGCTTTTAACTAAGGTATTTTACTCACTCAGGATCTCCATTTTGGCCTTGTGACCATCAATAGTAACCTTGTGAACAGAGGCCAGCACTCTCCTTGTGAAAACCTTGGGGAGTACTTCTAAATGGCTAAGCTTGTTGGAAAAGTCTTGCTGTCTGACCTGGTTTTTCATAGCATTATTCTTTTAAATTGATTCAGACTTTTGTTCATGTCTTGAAAATTTTTATTATTCTCCTAGCAATTTCAAGGAGAAATAACATAATTTTAGATTTCCCAGACCGTGAAAACCAGGGTAATCCCCACACTTCTCGTTTTAGCCCTACTCTTATTATATTTTACCAAGAAAAACAATCAGAATTCACCTCTATTTTTCAAATAAACAGTAACTTTTAGTTCTCTTCAGTAACTATTTTAATTATCTGCTTTTTAAAAAAGTATATCTGATATTATTACTTTTATAATGCAGCCTTTTATTTACTCCCAACCCAAGTTTCCAACTATTTTAATTTCCCATTTATGTTTTTGAAGGAAATAGTTAAATATATGTTAAGAATGCTAAAACATATATGACATGATTCCATAAAATGTTAAAAAAAATTTGACAGTATAATTTTCTCTACAAAACCAATGACTATTTCTAAAATATACTTTGTACTTATATTATTTAAGTAATAGGGATATTGCTATTGCAGATATACACTCTCTTCTTCAAGATTTTCTTTTTCATGGTTTCGATAGGCATTCTCTGCTTAAAATGTTACCTGATCTAAGAATCCTCAATGGTGAAATGCTTAACTCTTATTCAAAAAGCCACAGTGAAGAACACTATGAACTAGAATTGGGACGTTTCCGGATCCTTTGTCAGTCCCAGATTAGAGAATTCAACTTACTAATTGAAAACTATGTTACTGGAAATGGGTAAGACTGTTTGTTATCTTACTCTTGTCATAATGAAAAGATATAATACAACTTATACTTATGATTAAAAAAGGTTGTGATTAACGCAATCATATTTTTTTATTAGAACAGTTGTTTTAGGGATGTTCTCCCTTTAAAAAGTCTGAGCATCATCTTTTTATTGTTTGAATGATATTAACATGTATTTTGAACATAATTTCAAAACTAAAATAATAGAGAAAATAAAATAAAGTATGAAGATAGCTTCAAGACAAGATGTAAACATTCATTCAGTCATTCAATCAGTCAGCCATAAATTTATTCAACAATTATTGTGAACAAGGCACACAATCAGCTAATTATCAGACCATACCCTTAAGGAACTCACAGATTAGCATAAGAGAAAATTTGATAAATTGTTACAATGGAGCAAGGTAAGTTTTATAATACATGTAATATGTATTATATATAAGGTGTGTTACACATATATTTATATGTTAATGTATTATGGGAGCACAGTGGAGAAAAGCAGTCAACACATGTACATACTCAGAGGACAGCAGCTGAGAGTACAGTTCTAATCACATATCAAAGAAAGAGAACTTCCCATTCCCCATCCCAAATCCTGAATGCGCTAGTATGAATGAATTACAATTGATCCTTCTGTAACTGTATTTTCTAATTTGCATTGCTCCAGAAAATAAAAATGAAAAAGGATTCATATTTCACTTGTGATGACACTCCATTGTAACTGGAACAATAATATGTGCTTCCAAATGACTAAGCTTAATTACTAAATTAAAAGATTAAATTAGATTGACTAAATTTAGATTTTTCAATTCCATTGGACAATTTATTGTCATTGAAATTTTAGCATTGAAAATGGAAAATAGAATATAGTTTATATGTTTAATCATAAACGGTGGCAAATTTAACAGCTAGCTATAAACATTTGATATCCCAATATTGAATTGAACCTTTCTGTATTATTAGCCAATAGAATTAATGAAATACAAACTATCAAAAATATATTGGAGGATCCTATTCTAACATCTAATAATATCTTTGTGACTATAGGAACTGTCTAATTATTTCTACATCTTAGGAAATATAAGTTTCATTTTGTATGGTATGGACAAAAGTTTTATCTATTTATACCCTGCATTGTTTCAGAAAAAAAAAATTAAGGCAGCTTGGGCTATATATTAAATATAGTAAGAAAATATACATTTAAAGTAAAATTAACAAAATAATAAAACAGACATAAAGGACGATAAATAAAATGTAGCCAAGAATAATGTTCATGCAAGTGTGAAATCCTTTACATTTGCTATTGAGAGCCGTAAATCTAATAAACAAAGTTTGATTAATTACACAAGCTATAGTCTCAATAAGATAAAAACCCAACAATTGTTCAAGAGAGTCACAACCATTTATGTCAAAGTATTTGAATTTTCTTTGCAATAGACTTTTTTCCAGAGAAAAATGGGAATAAAAACTTTCCCATAATATAAGTTCTCTGTTTAAGTCCAATACAAATATTTTGCATGGCAAGTGTCAATGTAGAAAGTACTTTTAACTTTGTTTCATAAATAACTTCTCCAAATTTAGGCAGCCATAATGTCTCATGTTTATGGTAGTAAAAGCATGGATTTTTCTCATTCATTTGTACCAAAAATACCAACAATAAAAATGGCTCTAAAAATTCCAGACATTTTATCTGGATTGACAGATCTAAATTAACTAAACAAGTATTTTCAGATTTTGTTAGAAATCAGGTCAAATTTTTATCTAAACAATCTGAAATAAGTTTTTAATGAATGTTGTAGTAAAGTGTAGTGTTTATGTCAGGCTACACTGGGAGAATTTCAAAGCTTATGCAGGTTTCAATATTTGCTGATATAATCCTTATTATTAAATGTTCTCATTATTTGTCCAGAAATATATTCACCTTGGATACTGCCGAAAATCTCTGTTGTTATTTTAAGAAACTGATGACACTTAGTAACGAATACCGATATGCACATGAACACGGGGATATAAGTTTCACCAAGACAGATGAATCAGAAGCCCAGCAGAATCGTTTGACTCCTACAGACAGTGAGAGCGTACTGCAAAATGGAGCTCTCTGTTCTTGTGCAAATGAACATAAACTGGACCCACCAGATATTTCTGAGAAATGGATATACTCTGATTCTGTTCATTCTCCATTGACCAACTCCTCCTTGTGTGAAGATATGGAAGGAAGAAATCAGGAAAAAATAGTAGACAAGAAAAAAGATGACAGTAAGGCAAGCGGTATCCCCACCAAAAGAATGCCACTCAAGGAAACAGTAATGAGAAGTTCTCTGCTGAGAAATCATGCAAATATTGAACATTGTGAAAAGATGTAAGATTTATATCATTTCTATTTTACAGTTGTGTATTTTTAATTTTTTTACAGATAATATTAAGTCAATGTTACCAAATAATAACTTGGTAAAGGATTTAAATCATTATTATATTTCATATTAATTCTCTTAATTATGTTTTTGTGATGTGCACAAATTATTAATTACAGTATAGATTAATTTGATTGAATTTGGGCAGGTTCTGATTAACTGACTAGTATTTAATTTAAAATGAGTAAATGTCAAATTATTTTTCTGCCTTCTAATCTCTAAATAATTAAAATGAATTTTTAAGGAGAAGTAAAACTGCATTATTCTCAAAATAATATAAAAATACTTTCTAAGTAATCTTTTAAAATAGACCTTTTCAAGTGCTATTTATCTGCTTATTGATCTAATAAACATTCAATCAGCATCTGTGCAAATATTTGAATGCATGTGCTATAACTTTCTTTGATATAACAACTCTGTGACGTAGGGCAATATTCTTTGAGATTAGTCACATAAACCCCCTTCCAGCTATTAAACACTTTTAAAAAGGAAGTGGTTGGCTTTATTTAGTTATGTATTTATTTTGAACCAGCAAAGTGATATTTACTATGGCCTGTCAGCTTTTTCTGTTCTTTTTACTTTTGGCTTCATCATGAGGCCAACAAAATTTAAAATGGTCAAATTCAGCTTTTTCTATAATAACAGGTGCTGAGCAACACAGCATGCAGGATATCACAGTAGCTAATCTTTTTTTTGTTGTTGTTAGTTTCAGGTGTACAGAACAATGCAATAGTTACCCTTTTCACCCTCACAAAGTAACAACCCCCCTCCCCCCATCCACTG